AGACATTTGAGATCAGCCTAGGCAACACTGGGAGACCCTATCTCTACAAAAAATAAAAATAACTAGACAGGCATGGTGGCACATGACTGACTATAGTCCTAGTTACTCAGGAGGGTCACTTGAGCCTAGTAGTTTTAATCTGGAGGAAGCTATGATCACACCACTGTACTCCGGGCTGAGTGACACAGTAAGACTCCATCTTGGGGAAAGAATAAATTTCACTTGTAAGTGGGTGATGAACAATGAGAACACATGGACACATGGAGGGGAACATCATACACGGAGGCCTGTCATGGGGTAGAGGATAAAGGAAGGCTAGCAGGGGGTGGGGGTTAGGGGAGGGATAGCATTAGGAGAAATACCTAATGTAGATGACAGGGTGATGGATGCAGCAAACCACCATGGCACATGTATACCTATGTAACAAACCTGCATGTTCTGCACATGTACCACAGAACTTGAAGTATAATTTAAAAAAGATAAAATAAATAAATAAAATTTTCATAAATTCTCCAAATTTTAGTGAAAGTCTCCTCTTGTCTGGCAAAGATAACTCCAAGATAAGCTTCCTGCATTTCCCATCGAGATCATTTTGTTTGTTTGCTTTTCACCTCTAAGTTCCTCCTATGTCAAAAATTTGGAGTTTCTATTATGGCCACCTTCATGTATGTTCTTTCCAAGTCTCAGTTCTTAGAGCACTTATATTTCAGATATACTTGAGGAGATGAAGTCATATTGCACAGCAGTATCATGTTATGGCCTTATTTTACTTACCATTTAATCATATAGAAAAACAGAAATGAGTTTGTTCTAGCGTTTTCTCTGCCTCAATGGCCCATGTCTGCTTTCCAAGACTTTTATCTACACACCACTGATTCCTTGATCTGTCTTCTGAGTTTTGCTCTCATGGGACACCAGTTCCTTCAACCCTGCCACCCTCTGTAAACAAACGATTTGCTTGAAACATTTCCTGGAAATTCCTAGAGGAGAGTCTGGGTCAGGATCAGATCTCTTTCTCTCTGTATATGTGTGTGTGTGTGTGTGTGTGTGTGTTCTTTCAAGAAAGATACCTGTAAGAGTGTAAAGGAAGCTTTATTAGTTAGTAAGATAATTTGACAGTCAAGACGGTAGCAATTGAGGCTTCTGTCAATGCGACAGGAAAATATGGAACAGGAATAGCCCTTCAGGATTATCCTAAATTGAAGCAAAATCTTTGTACCCTTGCATTAACCAGTAACTGAATGTGGCCTGCCTACGAACAAAGGTTTCAAACTGGGTGAGGCAAGTTCGTTTTGATCAGAACAATTCCAAGAAAGGACTTATCTGTATTCCCATAGCAGCCCCAAATCCAGGAATCTAGGAGCTGATGTCTCAGTTCTGAAGTAAGGCTGACAGAGAAATTCACTACATGATTTTTTTGTAGTCTACTCTTGTATCACTCAGATTCAACTGTTTCATTTGGGAATAGCTCTTCTCATGTTTGTGTTGCTTATTTCCCCAAAAAGATGACACAATCATGAAAAGCTTTTGAATGAACTACAACATACCTCACTGAAGCTGTTCTTGAAACCTCAGCTGATCTTATCATCTGCCTTCTCTATAATCCATTCTAAATTCTTCTTTAGTAAAGCCTACAACCTTTACTGCCTAGGTGTCTTTCATGGTAGAGTGACCAGATCCTTTTTCACAAGAGGTAAAAATGTCTCTATAGAATGACCTTTTCAGGCTATGGCTACTGCACTTGCTAATCTATAAATTTGCCAGGTTAGTACAAGAGACAACCAGTCAACTATCTGGGTACTGAACATATTATTTCATTCATTAGAAGCCCTATCTTTCCCTGATGATCAAGGATTAACTAATTACTCTATCAGGTTAATGACTTCTTTCCTTGCCAGTTGAAATTTGAGCTTGGAGATCAAGGTTATTAGGCAAGAGCTTAACATAAATTTTATTTATTTATTTTATTTTTAAAAATTAATTATAAGATCTTCACAATGTCTCCCACTTTAGCTCAACAGAACCCAAATTGCAGAAATGGGAAACACAAATTTCCCAGGTAGGTCACTAAAAATTATAAGTAGGATTACTTCTAATTTCAGCACTTTTGTTTCCAAATACATGTATTCAATTATTTCAGTCACAGCTCTATATAATGATTGTTGGTATGCTGTACATGATGCATCTGGGGTATGTTGTCTCATCATCATTAATGTCATCTCTAAGGTGGAGACTCAACTGCATCTGTTCTATTACTGTACCAGCTTGGAAGGTTTTGACACACAAACATGATTGTATGTCTACTGTTGCAATTATTCTAAAATGTCTTCCTTTTTATGAAGTGATATAACATAATGTCCTATGCCAGTGGATCAAACTTTCTTATAAGCCCTGAAATACTAGATTTGGCTATGACCCTTCAAGAGAATAAAACAAACCTTTACCCATCGTATGTGTTAATTTCTATCAAGTTCATTTGCTGCCTTTTGTGGGGTAGGAAAATTTTCCATTAAGTGGCCATTTTCTACTCAAGGAGTGATGCTACATTGGCCACTTAACGTTGTTTTCTATCATTGCCAGGTTTATGTTTAACAGAAAGAGAAGTTTTATCAGCCTTATTGAGTGGGAAGCTGTGCTTTGTGTTTATGCACAGTTTTCATCCTGCCATTATAGCTACTTCAGTTAGGAGCTCATTATGCCACCACGAGGTGGCTTATGTCAGAAGCTAGCTGGTATAAATTGTCAGATCCAGTCAATGTTCTTTATAGTTTAGGTTCTTTTCCATAATATATGGATTATGATGAACATTAATCTGTTACATGAATATCTTCAAACTTTGTTCTAACTTCTAGAACCATCCCCATGCCATGTTGTCCGTCTCCCTCTTTGCCACTAGTATTCCAATCTTTCTCCTTCCAACAGCCTGGCCAATCAGCCAAGTTACCCACCATTAACAATAAGTTGAATTTTTGTATATTCTTACATAGAGCCACCTCTTTTTTATAAAAAGAGGATGAGTATGTCCATCAGCTGATTTGTCCATTGGACACATTTCTTCTCAGCAGTGTCTCTGGGTCACTCAAAAATGGATCAGTAACACATCTGCAGTTCATTTTTGGCATACCAACTTTACTCATTTATGAACTAATGTGGCCTTCATCCTCTACCAGCTGGTCATAAGGGATCATCCACGTAGCTTAGGGAAAGTACACCACATTGCAAGAATAGTGCACTAACATCAGTGAATTTTGCATCACCTCTTTGTGCTTTTTCAGTTCTGCTTGACGATCTTACTTGTGCCTCAGCCTGAATATACTTCTTTCTGTTATATGGGTAGAATTAGCACTCAAAGTGAGGCACACACTGCCTTCAGAGTTTCAGGAGGCCACTACACGTGGTACCTTCTTGTTGGTGGAAAAGGAAAAAAAAAATGCATTACTTTGTCTATTACCTCAGAGAGGCTGTCCCAGTTTTTCCTATACCACAGGATTCCTAAAAACTTCTCTGATGTTTAAGATTCCTACACTTTGGTGTGGGTGTTTATCTCTATCCTCTACCACCTATGGGGCACTGTGTTTTAACAAGAATGTCAATATACTTGCATTTCATGCTCGTCTACCAGATTAATATAATGTCATTGATATAGTGGGCTAAGAAAATATTTTGCAAAATGTCCAAAGAAAATAAGTATTTTCAAATTATTATAGTAGATGGAAGAGAATATATTTGCCACATCAAATGCTACATACTTGATAATCAAGTCCATGTTAGTCTTCCCTGGTGAAAATACTGCATCTGACATAGAACTTTCAATTGGTGTTTCTATTTGGTTGAGATTGAAGTCCACAGTAGTCCCCCATGACCCTTTTCTTTACACGCACAAAAGTAGCCAATACGAGAGTCTACTTTACAAAGAATGCTCTACTTATAAAGAAATCTTGTGAGCTATCTTTCCTCTGAGTGCTATCTCAGTTCACTTCAGATGACAGTTTTAACAATAAGTTGCTACAGCATGTCAGGGACCATTAACATTTCATCTTTAACAAGTGATGTGGTTCTTATTGTGATCCATACAGTGATTAATCCACCTCCAGAATTTCTTGTTGGCAATCTGTTTTCTAGAATCTTTTCTGGTATCAACTAGCTTAGGTTGGATTCTCTGGGAACAGAACCTGTGATGGAGATTTTTGTGAAAATGATCTACTAAAAGGGTGCTTTCAAAATAAGGGGAATAAAGAAGGTGTAATAGGACAGTGGATGAAAGATAAGCAAAGAAATGCTTTTTCTTTGCGAATGATGTCAGCCTGGTCTTACAAGGAGCTCTAAAACATAGGTTGAGCCACAGAATTTGTCTAATATTGAGGCAAGAGGACAGCCTTTTGCATCTCAGATTCAGCAAGTCATTTGCCCCTGGTTCACCCAAGGTGTGGGACATAGCTTTCTAAGCAAGGCAGATCCCAGTAGGCTCAGGGTAATTCTTAGGGGATAGGGTAGAAACAGGTTTGAGCCATTATCAGCCAATATTCACAGCATCTGTGGCTTTGATGAGCCACTCCAGTGAAGGACATCTGGGCAGAGCACCAACAGTACACACACATATGATAATGTTAGAAATGTAGGGTATTTCAGATACATTTATCTCCTTTTTCCCTTTGTGTAATTGTTGGCATGCATCTTAAACTCTACATGTACTTAAAATGTATATAACGTTGCTATTAATATTTTTGTGATCCTATTTGTTCATTTTTAACTACTTATTTTCTTTATTCTCCACAATTTTGTTTTTCCATTAATGGGCATTTTATTCTGCCTGGACAACCTTCTGTTATTATTAGTAGTAGTTATAGCAACATTAAAAATTGCACTATTATTTTGTATTTTATGCTGTTAATAAATTATATTTTTGTTTCCAAAAGAGGGGTAGGAAAAGAGAAGTAGGTACATCTAGGTAAAGTGAAGGTCAAAGTGGAGAGTTCTTGCTTTTATCCTTCAGGAACTTACTGAGCATCTGATTCTGGTAAGTTTAAGGAGCTATAAATCCATTTGGAAGCCTAAATCTAAGGTTTTACTAAACAGTTTATATCTGCATGCATGTCTATGGGGAGGAAGAGTAAGTGGCTTCAGTGTGTGTGCATACATGAAGAGAAAATATATTATGGCCCTGAGGTTTAAATAGGAAGGTTAAATATCATTTTTCTAATACACTAATATTAGTAGGGACCTATTTACTTAATAATATGACAAATAAAAGCAAGCTTTATGGTCAATTAAAAAATACAAATTACTATTGTCCAGTCTAAGACTTGATGTCTGGAGGGAATGGCTAGGGAAATTTTGTTGAAGTAGTTATTTGTCACTTGTATTTACTAATTATCTTCATCATGTTAGAAACTGTATCAGATAGTCCAGCATAAGTCTGAGGTAACATCTGCTTAAGCAGCTTTCCTGGATTCACACAGGGTAAATTACCAAGCTGAGATTTATACCAAGCTGTTTGTGCATTAGTTGGAGAACTATTTTTGCCTTAAAGAATAGCAATTCTAAATGGCATGGGCAATATTTGATCTGTGGACTGCCTTCCTTTAAACATTCCCTTCTTTTGGCATCTACTATATTCTGCCTCTCTGAATATTCCTTTGCAAGATGCTCTCAACAATCTTCCTGCTCTTCAGCATTCAATGAGATTTAAATTTTGTATTACTATATGATTTCATTTACTCTTTGGCTTCAGATACCATCTATCATGTCAATACTACTGAATAAACAGCCTTGTTGAACTATCTCTTCTGAAGTTCATACACATCCAAATGCATACTCTGTGTAATAATGAGTTTACCACTGAAAATACGGGAGGAGTAGACATCAATATCCCCTAGTTCCTGCCACAGAAGAAAAGGGAGAAGGTGCTAAGAAATGATTCTACATATTATATATTCCTTCCATTCACATTCATTCTTTGCATGTTTGCTGAGAGCCTTTTGTATGCCACATATTATATTGATGACAGATACATGAGGAAAAATATAACCTTTTCCAGACCTTTTTAATATTGAGTAGTCAATGTCTACGGTAGTAGTGGAGTTGGGTAGGGTAGAGTTACATGAAAGTAGTACGTTATAAAACACTGCAGAATCTTCTATAATAAAAGATGCATGACAGATGCATTCTCTGAAAGATCTAAGTCAATATCCCTCAGCAAAACGGGGGAAAAAAAGGAACCCCGAGTTAAGTGCTGATAAGAAAGCATAGTCCAACAAATACCAGGAGAATGGTTTTAATGACATCTCACAATCCACTACCACCTTCACACTATACTTATCCTGTGTTTTGCATTAGGTTCACCACCATGGTGGGAGATTAAAGTTCAAACTATTCCAGGCTTTTTCTGTGTAGAAGGTGCAGATCCATTCACATGCTGCCAAATGTTTTTTCGTTGTTGTTGTTGTTGAATTTTAGGTTTTGGGGTACATGTGAAGAACATGCAAGATTGTTGCACAGGTACACACATGGCAGTGTGATTTGCTGCCTTCCTCCCCATCACCTATATCTGGCATTTCTCCCCACGCTATCTCTTCCCAACTCCCCACCCCCTGCTGTCCCTCCCCTGTTTCCCCCCGACAGACCCCAGTGTGTGATGCTCCCTTCCCTGTGTCCATGTGTTCTCAAAATGTTTCTTAGAAGACAGTACCTAGCAAAAGTAAAATATATTGGTCCAGGACTGCTTGTTATTTACTATGTACTTTTAAAATTATCCTCAAAAAAAAAAAATCGCAAAATACAATATAAATTCACAGTTAAGCTTTCATAGAAAGGAGCTCAATAAATTTTCAGTGCCCCTATGTTCTCCACTGAAGACTGATGACATTTTTTTCTTGCAAGTTGAAGTTTAAAAAATTCTGGAGTGAGGATACCATGTCCTGTTCTCTCTAGCCTTCCATTGGTTCTACCTTCAACTTTTGTATTTTTGCTATTTTTAATGGAAATTATTAATTTCATAATTTTTATTTATGCATTTACTTAGAAAGCTTATTAAATAATAGCTGGAAATTCTGATGGTTATCTTAGAGATATCTGCTTCTCTGATAGTTTTACCAATTTTGACCTGTTTATCTTGAAGGCCAAAAACTTGATGATAAGTTGCAAGATTGCATAATTTACTTCTGAAAATATAACTTGTATGTATTTTTAAAAGAGAATAAAACAAAACCAGGTTCAGTTTATTATGTAGGTAAATTTTTAGTGCTTTATTTCAAACTTTTGGATTCTTTTTCATTTAGAGTTTATTTGACTAAATATGCATTTATTTGACTAATTTCTATGACTAATTAAATACAGAGATATGAGATAAAATCCAATCAAGATAGATAAGATAAATATGCACATGATACTGCTGTAAAGCTTCAAATTGTTTCTTGAAATAAAATGGTAACATTAAGTGTGAAACATAAGTGTTTGGGCTAGGAATTATCATATTTAATACATGAATATATACATGAAGAAATAAAGATACATAGCTCCAAAGAATTCATCCACTGTTTTATTTCTCCAACGTGTTCTATTGGAAACTACTGTGTAATCAGTGTTAATATTTATAGAAACTTGTTTGTGGTTTATATACCTAGATCTGTGTTTGGAACTTCATAAACATCTATAATTATCAAAACATACCAAAATTGTATTCATTTTACAGATTTAAAATAAGGCCCAAATAAGTTTAAGTCAAACAAAGGGAAAATGCATTTGAACAGAAATCATTGTGTTTATTGTTCTATAACACTTGATATAACATATATATTTACTTATGTGTAAAATGTGCATAAGTACCTGCCTATTAAGTATAAGAGGTAGTCTATAAACTCATTTACTTTATAGCATTTAATGACTTAATATTTTCCAAATATTTGCAGTGATCTCTGAATATTTTCTTAGACCATTTCTTTTTCTTTTTTTTTTTTTGAGACAGAGTCTCACTCCGTCACTAGGTGCCAGGCTGGAGTGCAGTGGCGCAACCTCGGCTCACTGCAACCTTTGCCTCCTGGGTTCAAGCAATTCTCCTGCCTCAGCCTCCTGAGTAGCTGGGACTACAGGTGTGTGCCACCATGCCTAGCTAATTTTTTTGTATTTTTAGTAGAGACGGGTTTCACTGTGTTGGCCAGGATAGTCTCAATCTCTTGACCTCATGATCCTCCTGCCTCGGCCTCCCAAAGTGCTGGGATTACAGTTCTTAGACCATTTCTTTCACACTTTCTACACAAAGCTCAGAGATCTTATTTTAAAGCCCATATAGGTACTACTGAAGACAATGGAAAAAGTAGTAGAAAAGATTCTAAGCGTCTTATCATTTCAAAGAAGCTCCACTTTGATATGTTTTATATATTTGGTTAGAAATTTTAAAAAGTAGGGCCGGGAGCGGTGGCTCATGCCTGTAATCCCAGCACTTTGGGAGACTGAGGCAGGTGAATCACCAGAGGTCAGGAGTTTGAGACCAGCCTGGCCAACATGGTGAAACTCCATCTCTACTAAGAATGCAAAAATTAGCCAGGCGTGGTGGCACACACCTGTAATCCCAGCTACCTAGGAGGCTGAGGCAGGAGAATTGCTTGAACCCGGAGGGCAGAGGTTGCAGCGAGCTGAGATTGCACTATTGCACTTCAGCCTGGTGACAAGAGCAAACTCCATCTAAAAAAAAAAAAAATGTAAAAAGTCACCAACTTAGGCCAAGTTGTTAGAAGTGACTTTACCATGCTGGAGAATATGAACATGCTTAAGAGCTTCTGGTAAATTTTGAAGAGTGCAGTTGATTAACAGCCAAATATGCTTTTGAGTATTGTATATGAATGAACCCCTTATCCCCACAAAACTGAGTTTTAACCAAAAGCATGACTGCTTTTCATTTATATGGTTTCAGATCTGGCTAATGAGCTCATATCTGCCTCATCATGTCTGATCTCAATAACTCTGAAGTCAAGTTTTTCCTTCTGATTGGGATCCCAGGACTGGAACATGCCCACATTTGGTTCTCCATCCCCATTTGCCTCATGTACCTAGTTGCCATCATGGGCAACTGCACCATTCTCTTTATCATAAAGGCAGAGCCCTCGCTTCATGAGCCCATGTATTATTTCCTTGCCATGTTGGCTGTCTCTGACATGGGCCTGTCCCTCTCCTCCCTTCCTACCATGCTGAGGGTCTTCTTGTTCAACACCATGAGAATTTCACCAAATGCCTGCTTGGCCCAAGAATTCTTCATTCATGGATTCTCTGTCATGGAATCCTCAGTACTTCTAATTATGTCTTTGGACCGCTTTCTTGCTATTTGCAATCCCTTAAGATACAGTTCTATCATCACTAGCAACAGGGTTGCTAAAATGGGACTTATTTTAGCCATTAGGAGCATTCTCTCAGTGCTTCCATTTCCCATCACCCTAAGGAGATTAAAATATTGTCAAAAGAATCTTCTTTCTCACTCATACTGTCTTCATCAAGATACCATGAAGCTGGCCTGCTCTGACAACAAGATCAATGTCATCTATGGCTTATTCATTGGTTTCTGTATTATGCTGGACTTGGCATTGATTCTTTTGTCTTATGTGCTGATCATGAAGACTGTACTCAGCATTGCATCTTTAGCAGAGAGGCTTAAGGCCCTAAATACCTGTGTCTCCCACATTTGTGCTGTGCTCACCTTCTATGTGCCCATCATCACCCTGGCTGCCATGTACCGCTTTGCCAAGCACAAAAGTCCTTTTGCTGTAATCCTTATTGCAGATATGTTCTTGTTGGTGCCACCCATTATGAACCCCATTGTGTACTGTGTAAAGACTCGACAAATCTGGGAGAAGATCTTGGAGAAGTTGCTTCACATATGTGGGAAATAAGAATGTGAATAATTAGGTAATAAATTATCAACCGGTAAGCATTTACTGGCATTTGCTATGTGTTTAAGGCTACAGAAGTCACAAATGAAGGACTGGAGCAAGGTACTGAAAGCTGTGTAGTGCAGAATTTATAATAAAGTTGAGAATATAATTTAACAGGATAGAAAAAAATAATCAAGAGATGCATAAGATATAGAGGTTTAATTAACATTTTAAGAGGAGTCGAAACAAAACACTCATATGATGAAGCAGCTGGATTTGAGCCAGCCCACAAAGAATTAATAAAATTAGGGCAGATTGAGATTATCATTCAACTAGTATCTAGTACAGATGATATACAAAGTCTAAGCTCGTGCTATCAAGGAAAGGTAAAATAGCAGAGCACATGGCAACTATGAAGGATGCTGATCTGATTAGAATAGAAAGTATAATTTAACAAATAGCAAGTGATAGTTTTGCATAAGATAAGTGAACCAGATTTTGGAGCACTTAAGAAAAGCTTTGAAAAGTCTAAATTCAGGAGGTATTGGAATGCCAATTTAGTCTCTGCATGATAAATTTAAAGAAGAGAGTGCCTGTAAGCATGAGCAAGATGGATTGAATTTGGGGAAAATGAGGAAGATTGACAGGAGAAGGCACAATAATCCTGCTGTAAAGTAATGACTTAGGAAAGGCAGGGAGAGAGCAAAATCATTTAGCTGTTATTGTTATTTTTTTTCTAAAACCAACATGTAATTTATAGACAATTCTCACACATTTAACTAAGTGACTAAAAGATAATTTTAAAACCCCTATGATTTTGCTGTTCAGTTTTTTCCTGTGATTTAGTCTTTCCCTTCACCTTAAAAAAAGTTAGCCCTTCTAATGTTTTTAAAAATTGATTCCTGCTGGACATGGCATTTGGCACCACAGTATTTTTCATGGAAATTTATATTTTAAACTGTTTTCTTATGTACAGAGGAAATATTTTATGGAAAAATCAAAAGATTGCATATTCAGTTGAAAATACAATTTGAAGGATGAAAGTTAAGACTGACATGGCAATCTCTCTGGGGTACTGAGGTAAGAGTGTCTTAAACAGGAAAGAAAAGCTTTTCAAAGGAACTGGACGTTTGAATGACGGATTTGAATTTTGTCTTGAGGATTTGGCACAGGTGAATGAATATTCAAAAACCGGTAACTACAGAGAATTTGAAACAGGAAACCTAGATGCTGCTTATCTGCCATGACTAGGAAAGTAGCCGCGTCCCTCTTAGACAATGATCCTTGGATATAGACATGGGAGTAAATAGATATTTTAAACCAAGTTTGGTTGTCAAACTGTGAAGATCCTACCTTGCTAAAGTCTAATATGCTTCTTCACCCATGATTTTCCACTGCTATTATTTTAGCTCATGTTTAAAACTTCCCCTGGATTCTCCAGTCAAGCTATTTGAAAGATCTTTCTAAAATGTAAACTTAACCAACTTAAAATGCTTCGATACCTGTGCAGCAACTTACAAGATAGTGGCAAGTCTCTGTATATGTACAAAGCCTTTTCCATCATTCAGTACCTGCTTTTCTCTACTGTGTTTCTATAAATATTCTCTGTCTTACACTTCAACAGAGTAACATAAACACATCATGTTACTTATATCCAAACCTCTGCTTTTTGTGTATTTTTTGTCAGAAATGCTGCATTTGTTTTATATTTCTGCATAACAAATTATTAAAAACTTGGCTTAAAACAATACAAATGTATTGTCTTACAAATCTGTAGGCTGGAGTTCTGACATGGGTTTCATTGGGCTAAAATCAAGATGTTAGCAAGCCTGCATTCCTTTTTTAAGAAATAGAGGAAAATCTGTTTCTGTGAATTTTCTGGGTTCTAGAGGTAATCCACAATTCTTGCCTTATGGATCCCCTCCTTAATCTTCAAACCATGGACATTGCATCTCCTGTGACTTCATTGTATCATCTCATCTCTTTCTGACCATGGCCAGTAACAAGTCTCTACTTTTAAGGACTCATATAATTAGATTGGGTTCACCTGGATAATATTAGCTATTCTGCCTACATTAAGGTTTTGAATGTTAATTAAACTGCAAAGTATCTTTTGCCGTGTAAAGTAATATATTTACAAATTTCAGGGATTATAATGTTGAAATCATTAGGAGAAGGTGCACTCTGCCTACCACAAATACATTTCCTCAATTCTCTTTATCTTGTTTATTTCTGTAGCAGGACATAGCTAGATGTACTGTATTCAGCTTTGCCGACACATTTTTGCTCCAAGTATGACAAATTTATACATAAATTTTGTTCCCTTTCTTATACACTGATTGATCTACACCATAATTTAAAATAAATAGGAGTCTTTAATTGTTTAAAAGATTGTTTACATCTCTGCCAAATTGTAAACTCCACATGACACTTATGTCTGCACATCTTCGTTTTTCTATACCTCTAGGGCTTAGCACATATTAGGACAAATAAAGGCCCAATAAATATCTGTTGGTTAAATTGAAAATGTGTGAGTGACTGTCATGGAATAAAAAAACTGCTCATTTCCTAAGCTCGAAATCTTAAGCATTCCCTGAGGATGGAGTCCTCAAATTGTAATATGTCAACCATATCCAATTGGAAGATATCATGACTTCTTCAGGCAGTTCCTTTCCTCCTGCTGCAATCATGCCAGGCCGAAAGCACAAACTGTAGTGTCTGCCAAAACTTACTTGTCTTCTCTGCTAAAGGCCTGAGGTACTCAATACTGGTTGCATGAATACTAAACCTACAGTCGCTGTAAATTCTGATTTCAGTGTATTACTGACTGCACTTTTAGACAGCCTCCTTCTCTCAGTTTACCACTTAAGTATTTTTGACAATAATTATTTATAATAGTCTTTGTCATCAACAAATAACAAATAATGATTTCAGCAAATAATGGACTTAAGCTATCTCTTGGCTTTTTCTAAGAATACTTGCTTTGCTTAGGATGCTATTTTTCCTTAATTTCACCCAGATAACTTCTGGCTGACCTTCAGGAATCAGTTAGTAGATCATCTGAAGTTGCAAAATATTTCAGACACCTTCACTAGACAATTTCTTGAGAATGGGAAATGTGTCTTGTTCATCAATTTATTCCTATTAATTTTTGCAGAAATTGTTCAGTGAGTGTTGAATAATGAATAAATGCACAGATGTCAGTCTTGTCTAGCACCCCCCCAACCATATTCAATTCACTAATTAATGTAGCTTCCAGCTTACTTCACTCCAGCCACACTGGTCCTCTTGCTAGAACACTCAGGTTTATGTCTATCTCAGGACTGCTATACTTGTTATGCCATTCTTCAATGTTCATCCCTCAATTTTTATTTTTCAAACACCTAACTCCATCATATCACTCATAATTTTGTTCAGAATATCCCCTCTTTATAGAGGCCATCCCTGCTCATCCGTTTAATTGCTCTTAACCCATCACCCCACTATATTTCCTTCAGAGTACTTAGCAGTGTGTGAAATAATCATTTCCTATGCTGTTGTCTGTCTCTACCACCAAAATGTGTCAAGAGAACAGGCTTTGTTATCCTTTTGCCCACTATATTCCTATAATGTATGCTTAGAGAAAGGAGAACACTCAACAACTTTTTTTTTTTTACCCATCTAACTTCTGCTTATAAGCACTTTAAGCCTTAACTTAGGCAACCCCTTTAGAAAACCAGCTACGGCCCTTCGTCCCCTCCAGGTGGTTTCTGGAGTCCCTCATTCACTTGCCACACATTCTTCATGGTGTTTTTGGTCTGTGTCATTATGTTTATGATTTATGTAAGGAATTAAAATAACTAAAGTTTATTGTGAATAAAAGAACATACTAAGCATTATCTTTGAAAGTTTTACATATATGATATAGCTAAATTGCCTAGACAGCCTTGTGGGGTAGACATACAAAAAAGGACGATAGATTGGATAGGGAAAATGTGGCACATATACACCATGGAATATTATGCAGCCATCAAAAACGATGAGTTTGGGTCCTTTGT